GACTTCAGTCAATGTTTTGAGTAAACAACCTCAAACTCGAATTTGAAAGTTCCAGCAGGTTTGTATGATGAATTCGGACTTATGCATATGTCTGGATCGGGTTTTGGATGACCCGAGAGCGTTTTGGCGCCTAATAGTGAAAGTTGATTCCTTAAGGATTTTGAAGTTCTTTAAATTTGGTTTGGAGCGGGTTTTTGTGTTATCAATGTCTGAACGTAATTCCGAGACCAGGAATAGATCCGTAATGTCATTTAAGACTTGCACGCAAAATTTGGTGTCAATCCGAGTAGTATAAGTGTGTTTCGTCACATTGGAAGTAGATTGAAGAACTTGAAGTTCATAAGATTGATTCAATTGCTTTTAGAGGGTGATTCTTAGATATAGCGTTGTTTCAGGCATTCCGAGGGTTCGAGCGAGTCCGTTTTATCATTTCAAACTTGTAGGTATGTTCGGGCGGGGCTCGGGGACCCCGAGTGTCAATCGGACAAGGATCGAGCTTAGTTGGAAATGTGGGAAGGGGTTGAAGCTTCAAGCTTCTGTCATAACCGCACGTACGGTTGGCCAGCCGCAGAAGCGGCTAGGCCATCGCAGATACAGCCATGGGTTGCCAGCCCAGGAGCCGCAGAAGCGTCCTATATTCCGCAAAAATGGATTGCTTCTTGCAGAAGCGGCCCAGTCGGCCAGGATAATTTCAAAAGAAACGGACTCAGTTCCGCAGATGCGTGGGCGCAGGTGCGGCCTAGGACCGCAGATGCGAAAATCACTGAAGGCAGTAACCTTCATTTATTGCGGGTGTTAGCCATTTTTTGCTCATTTCCACTCAAAAGTTGGGCGATTTTGGAGCTCTTGAGAGAAGATTTTCACCAAGCTCTTAGAGGTAAGTGATCCCCACTTTATCTGAGTTAAATACTAGAATATGAATTTGTAAACCTATAATGATGGACTTTTACACAATTTGCATAGTTTCGGATTGTGCGGCTCCGGTTTGAGAGTTTGGACGCATTCTTTAGTTGGAAGTAGGCCCGAAACGAGGTAAGTTTCTTTTCTAACCTTGTAGGGGGAAATGTCCCCATAGGTGAACTTAATTAATATATGATTAATTGTGGGGGCTACGTACACACGAGGTGACGAGAGTCCGTACGTAGCTACTATTCCTATTATGTCCGGGTAGTTCTAGGATTACATCAAGCTTCGTGACCGCTATTAATTGCTTATATATGCTAATGGAATGAAAGGAAGTAAGTTGAAGGAAATCTAATGAAGTACAAGCTTCAAGTGAATTGTATTCATGTTTATAAAAAGGAATTAAAGAAGTGTTAATGTTCCAAATGATGAAAATTATGTTTACCGCGTCGCACGTATGATTTGCGAGCGGGATTATGCTTTTACCGCATCGCACGTATGATTTGCGAGTGGGGTTAATAGATGCATTAATAGTTCGTGTCGTTCGACCCTCGACAGTGCATATTTACTTTTATGTTGGATCGGGTCGAACGTCCTCGGTGATATTTATGTGTGATAATAGAACCGGAACCCTTATAATTCGTATGACTTATTGCTGGAAAGGTCACTAATTTGAATGGGGAAAGTGCTTAGTTCTATTAATTGGATGAAAGGATTTTTAATAATTATTCTTGTTTGAGCTTGTTTTTATCTATATACACTGTGAATTAAATATATGGAACTTCACATTATTATATTTGCTGGCCTAGTAAGTGCCGGAGTCGACCCCTTGTCACTACTTCTGCGAGGTTAGGCGAGATACTTACTAGGTAAATATTTTTATGTACTCATGCTATGCTTCTGTACTTGATTGTACAGGCTTTGAGGCAGGTGCATCTAGCTATCAGTCTGGCGCATAGAGTGGACTCCTCAGCTCGAGACTTTCTGGTGAGCTGCCCTTTTGAGCCGATCTGCAGCAGCTGGAGTCTCTCTTTTGACTATATGTTCCTGTCTGTTTTCTTTTTCAAACAGTAGGATAGTATGGTTTTGTATATTTTACTAGATTGCCCAGACACTTGTGACACCAGGTCTTGGCACACAAATTAGTAGAATTATGATGTTTTGGCTTGTCTTCATTATTGAGATTTGCATTTATTTCTTCATTTAAATATGCTTAAGTTTTAAAACTACAAATCTCTTAAACCTGTAATGAAAGTTATCACGTACTAACTACATAAATGAGAATTTACTATTTGATTAGTGTGGGTTTGCTTAACAACGGTGTTGGACATCATCACGGCCTAATATGGTACTTGGGTCGTGACAGTTTGATTGAAGAGGCCCGAAAATGTCATTTACGTTATCTTGAAGTTGGAGGCTGGAGCTAGAGATTTTATTGTATTATCTATTGGCATTAGTTAAATAAATAGTAATGAATTTTGCACTTCTACGTAAGCTAAAAAAATTGAAATATTAGAAAGGAGGGAAAACATGCAAGTTGGATGCACAAGAAAACAGAAGGAACTTCATATATCACCATCTTATTAGTCCAGAATAAACATAGAACATAATTCAAGTTTTGTTTCTCTTTCTGTGAAACAACTCCTAAAGCAAGATAACCAACTAAACAATACTTGTATCATGTTAAAGTTAGATCAAAAAGCTCCAACCACTAAATCGTGGGACCAAGGCATTAACTATACTATGATGTCTTCGACATACCCTGTTTGCTCTTCCGGTGAAGAACATTTCGAGATTCTTTGTGTTCTTGAGATTTTTTTTTTTTATAACAAAAAAATCACCGATGACCATTGGCTCACGGTTCGAAATTCAATGGCTAACCTACCTGCCCCTTTATTCTTCCCCACTTAAATATACCAGGCATTTGTCTGTGGCAGAGTTCAAACCCATGACATGCGCCTAACACACACATCACGTGCAGGGGCGGCTCAACGGGATTGGTGGCCTAAAGCAAAACCTTGATTAGAGGCCTTAATTTTATTTTTTTTAACAAAAAACTTCCTATATATTTTCCTTTGAAGTTTATTTATCTAGCTTTTTGAGATGTAAAGTTATTACGTAATAATTTTGTTTATAACTAACTTTTTGCAATATTTTTTTGAATTAATAATATGTATAAATAATCCATTTAATTTTGCTTGAGATATTGTTGATCTTAAATAAAATTTTATCAATTTTAATTTTAAAAAAATCTTTCTGTATATGCGACTAGTATAAAAACTGTTAATATTATTCTATAAGCAATATATGCATTTGAAAAGAATCAAATCCTCCAGTTATGGATTAGAGTATTACCTTCTAGTTATACTATTTTTCTTAACAGTGAAATATAAGTCTAAATCGTCAATATCAATGCACTATTATGTTTTAAGGAACTCTCGAGGTTAATGCAATAATTTTTTACCACTAAATAGAAAAATAAAAATATTTTCAATTGTTTCGAATTATTCAAATATATTAAAAATTTCTTTCTTTATTAAAAAATATAATTTTTTTACTTTAAAATGCTTAAGTTATTTCAAAAAATTAATTAATAACAACAACAACCCAGTAAAATTCCACTAATGGGATCTGGGGAGGGTAGTGTGTACGCAAACCTTACCCCTACCCCGTAGGAGTAGGAAGGCTGTTTCAGAAAGACCCGAGCTCAAGACAAAGGACAAAAGGAAACAATATTAGTATCACCAGAAAATCATAGGAAAAGTAGGAACAACATAAAATCCAGAAGAAAGATGCAAAGCAAAAGCGAAAGCGATGGCTAGTAAATAGGTCATGCACTCGAAAGCGAAAATAGTAAGAGACAACATTGTCACTAGCTATCTTAGACAAAAAAAAACCTACCATACTAGTCCCACAATGGTACAAAGAAGGCAATACTCAATTACATCCTAACCTACAACCCTAATACTCGACCTCCACATCCTCCTATCAAGTGTCATGTCCTCGGAAATCTGAAGCCTCGCTATATCCTGCCTGATCACCTCTTCCCAATACTTCTTAGGCCGCCCTCTACCTCTCCTCTTGCCCTCCACAACCAGACGCTCACACCTCCATACCGGAGCATCTGTGCTTCTCCTCTGAACATGTCCGAACCATTTGAGTCTCGCTTCCCGCATCTTGTCTTCAATGGGAGCGACGTGCACCTTCTCCCGAATATCATCATTCCTAATCTTATCCATCCTAGTGTGCCCGCACATACACCTCAATGTCCTCATTTCTGCTACTCTCATCTTCTGAATATGTGAGTTCTTAACAGGCCAACACTCAGCCCCATACATCATGGCCGGTCTAACCACCGCTTTATAGAACTTACCTTTGAGTGTCGGTGGCACTCTCTTGTCACACAGGACTCCATATACTAACCTCCACTTCATCCATCCTACCCCAATACGGTGTGTGACATCCTCGTCGATCTCCCCTCCTCCCTGGATAACCGAACCAAGGTACTTGAAGTTGTCTCTACTTGGGATGACCTGTGATTCAAGCCTCACCTCCACGCCCACTTCCCTCGGCTCAGCGCTGAACTTACACTCCAAGTACTCCGTCTTCGTCCTGCTCAGCTTGAAACCCTTAGACTCAAGAGCTTGTCTCCAAACCTCCAGCCTCTCGTTAACACCAGCTCGCGTCTCATCAATCAGAACTACATCATTGGCGAATAGCATGCACCATCGCACCTCCCCTTGAATATGGTGTGTCAACGCGTCCATCACCAAGGCGAATAAGAAAGGACTTAGCGCACAACCTTGGTGTGACCCCATTACAACTGGAAAATGCTCAGAGTCGCCTCCTACTGTACTAACCTGAGTCTTAACCCCATCATTAATAAATCTACTACTAACAAAAAATGAGGCATGGAAAATATTGGGGCCTAAAGCCTTTGCTTTACTTGCCACGTGTTGGCTCTTACCACTAGAGCTAAGCCCAGGGGCAGTTGTTGAGAACAAACTTGCAAGTACAAATTGATTAACCCAGGGAGGCATAAAAACTAGAACCGAATATATATGAATTGAAACAAGAAAATAATCGACGACCGGGAAAACAAATTGAAAATATAGTTTCTTGGATATATAGGTGGGTGCTGAAAACAGGGAGATAGTGAAAAATGACAATTAGTACTAGCACACCAAACAGACAGAATTAGGATTGGCTTAGATACTACTACTTAAATACAAAAGATAAACTGACAGAGTGAGCATCTGGAAATCAGAAGCTCTTTTTTTAGTGATTCTACTTACTAATGATGAGATTGCACACCTTGCCAAGCACAAACAATTTCCTCAAGTGCTGGTCTAATAGATTGTGTTAACATGTTTTGGTACTCGATAGCATCACCACATGACCTTCTTAGCTCAACCAAGTAATAGCATTCAGTAACTTCAAATATTTGCACATCAATGCATAGAGTTCCATATTTTGATCCCTCTAATCTCAAAAATCCACCCTCTTTTTTCTTTATTTCTAGGTTCAGATTCCTGCCAACTTCCTCAAGCTTGTATATGATGACCGCGGCAGGCTTCACTGATGTGAATTGCAATTCCTCCTTTTGATCATTTCTTATGAATAAACCAGACAAGTCAAACCCACTTGAAAGAGAGATGATATCAAATGCATTAAGATTCATAGGTTTTGCCAACTCTAGCTTTGCGTCACAGGAACAGATGCTCTTCTCCAAACTCGAACTGGAAACAGCATCTGCATTAACATTTTGGTTCTGTACTAGTTTGGTTCTCACATGTCTGGATTCCAACCCTTTCTTAAACCAGGAGATTTCCTTAATTTTGGCTATCGAAATCCTTGTATGAGGGTTTGGGTCGAGGATCCTAGAGAGAAGTTTACGCACTTCTAGTGGGAACCAATTAGGGCATTTGTATTCTGCCCTGCTTATCTTCCTATACATATTCATAAGATTTGAGTCATGGAATGGAAGATAACCAGCCAACAAAACAAATAAGATCACCCCAGATGACCAGATGTCAGCTTTGGCACCATCATATCCTTTTCTACCAATCACCTCGGGCGCAACATATGCTGGCGTACCGCACGTTGTGTGGAGTAAGCCATCCTGTCGCTTGGACTCAGCCAATGCACTCAATCCAAAGTCTGAGACCTTTAGGTTTCCGTTCTCATCCAGCAGGAGATTTTCCGGTTTGAGATCACGGTGATAAACATCTCGGCTGTGGCAAAATTCAACAGCAGCAATCAGTTGCTGAAAGAACTTTCTAGCAACATCTTCCTTGAGCCTCCCCTTTGCCAGCTTGTTAAAAAGCTCCCCGCCTTTGGCATGTTCGATCACAAAGTAAATCTTAGACTTAGTTGCCATGACCTCGTATAGCTGCAAAACATGTGGGTGTTTGACCAGTGCCATAATAGATATCTCTCGTTTGGTCTGTTCTATCAATCCAGCCTTTAGAACCTTCTCTTTATCAATAACCTTGATAGCTACACCCTGTCCAGTTTTCAGATTCCTTCCATAATAAACCTTAGCAAAGTTGCCTTGACCTAATAATCTCCCCAATTCATATTTCTGCATCAATACATTTCCTTTCTTCTCCATTTTCAACCAACAATCCTACCTTAAACTATAAATAATTCTTCTCCTGCTGATATGATTAATTCGTTTATTTCACGAGCAGGAGGCCTTGTTTCGGCGTTCAACCGTCTGCAACAAGGCAGTGCTTCAGTACTGTGGCTTCATTGTGCATCTGGCACGAGAACTTAAATGCCGTATGAGCTGCAAATTTGAAATCATTATGGAGAAAACAGAATAACCCCAATGCAGACGGAAAATCAGAGGCGTCTAAGAACCAAGAGGTGATGTTCAACCCCATCTTTCTGCATCCCAAATATATTTGCTTTCAGTGATATGTTGCCAAATTTCTGAAAAATCACAAGGTAAGAAAAAGAACATCAGATCTTAGAACGTTTCAATATGAGCTAAATAATTTGTTAACTTAAACGTAAAAGGAAAAAATTGGAGATATATAAGAAAAAGAAGCCCAAATTACAAGTGGCAGTACATTAAACATGAAATCATTCTGAAGAGCCAGTAGGAAAAGACAATTAATATCCATTACAGAAAAAAAAAAAATAAAGATGATACCAAGATCTGAATACATAAGTTTTCAACTATGACACCCTTGTACCACAAGAACACAAATGCAGCTAAAAGGTTTATATTAAAGATAAATACTACTGTACTTCCATTTAAGTGACCACAAATTCAAGCTGAAGAAGTTGCTCTATCACAAGGCCAGAATATGACTCACCAAGATAAATTATTTGGCTAGGTTTAATCATATCATAGGCAAGATCTATTTCTCAATCTAAAGAAAAACCAATTTAATCCCGGCCCCAAGATAAATGAAACATGATATATTAAATATAAAATCAAAAAAATGAGCTGATGAGATACAACTAACGCTTTTCAGATCAAATCCAGAACCGAAATTGGCATGAGCACATTCAAACAAAAGGAAAATCATTCAGACGTCAGACCTCATCAATAGAATTATCTCAGCCACAAAACCCGGTGCCAACAAAAAGAAAAGGAAAAATATGAACAAATGGTGAATGCTAAATAGTTGTAAATTCAAGAATACAAGGTGAAACATTCACACATCATATACCCAAGACACAACATTTTTCCTAATAAATGTAGAGAATTTATTACCAATCATCAGAAAATGCAATTAATAATCCACAAGAAAATATTTGAAAATGGATCAACAAAGAAAGAAAGAAAGAAAGAAAATGGAAAAGAAGAAGAAACCTGAAATGGTTTAACGAATTTGTAGGAGAATACAACTTCGGAAGATCCGAAGCTGAGAGGGTATAGAAATAGAGAAAAAGACAAGCTCTGGTCGTAAATGTGTAATTTCGTGAATCTGTATTTTTGTAGGAAAAGCACAAAGCTGTTGTCTTGATACAATTGTTGTAATGTTCAATTTGTGACGTTAATACTAATTCTCTGCAAGTGAAAACTAGGTAAGCTTCTGCAATAACTGTACCTTGACACGTGGTGGACCTCTTCACGAAAGAGAGAATTAAGTATATTTAGAGATACGTTTGGTTTATGCTTTAATTATGAGGGACTATAGTGCATGAATTATTTATAATAATGCAAGGATTGTCATATAGTAATAAATAACAATATATAATTATTATGCCATGAATAATACATATAGATTGTCAAGCAAGAATTGTCTAATTTAAGAATATTTTATTCATGAATTGTCAAGTAGGAGTATTTAATCTTACCACGTATGATGATACTTATACCCATATCTCTAGCCCGTTTGGACATAAAAAAAATTTCACTTTTTTTCGAAATCAGCGTTTAGTCATAAAGTTTTCAATTTTCACATGAAGATGCATTTTGGAATTTTTCGCTCAGATCACTCACAAAACTTCAAAAACAACCCAAAATTATATTCATGTCCAAACACAGCTCTAATTTTCAAATACCATTTTAACTTGAAAATTTTTTTCCACCTTTTTGGAATTTTACAATTCTTATGTCCAATCGCCCACTTCATATTCTATCACGTCTTATATATATACACACACATTCACGTGTGAGTTATATCAGAGTTTTGCTAAAAGGAGGAACACATATGCCCATCAAAGAGGTGCGAGAGGTTGCAGTGATTGGTCTAAATAGAGGTAGAGGAGCGAAGAAGAATGGAGAAGAGGTGATTAGACAGGACATGACACATATTCAGTTGGCCGACGATATAACCCTAGATAGGAGAACATGGAGGTCGAAAATTAGGGTAGAAGGTTAGTAGGTAGTCGAGCGATCTTTTCTTTCTCAGGGAAGTCATGGTTCTAGTTTAGAGCACCTTGTCTGCTCCATCTTCTCCTTATTATTATTATTATTATTATTATTATTATTATTATTATTATTATTATTATTATTATTATTATTATTATTATTATTGTTGTTGTTGTTGTTGTTGTTGTTGTTGTTGTTGTTATTATTGTTATTATTATTATTATTATTATTATTATTATTATTATTATTATTATTATTATTATTACTGTTGTTGTTGTTGTTGTTGTTGTTTCCTTTGATTTGGTTATCTTACTATTTTCGCTACTAATGCTTTTTTTCTCAGTATTTTCATCATAGTGTCTTTGCTATTGTATTTTTCAAACTTGTTTTAAAAATGCTTTTCTTTAGCCGAGGGTCTATCGGAAACAGTTTCTCTACCTCACACAAGGTAGGGGGTAAGGTTTATGTATCCTCCTCATACCCCACTTATGAGATCATAGTGAATATACTCTTTTTGTTGTTGTATATTAGAGTTTTGCAATTTGGCATTTGATTTTTGATATTAGATTTTGCTAATTTATATGATTTTAAATACTGGAATTCGATCTTATATTAGTTACATAGGGATTATATTGATTATGTAGGATTTATACCAAAAACTAAATATTGTATAAGTGCTAACATCAATATTTCTTTTTTTTACCAAAATTACCCCTTAGAGTCCATGGCATCTACTATAATTTATTCCTTAGGCGCCTAGGAGGGAAAAGAATATTACAGACAAATCCTTTTTCAAATGTTTTTGTGAAAAAGTGGGTAGGAAATATTAAACAGCTTATTGGGGAAGATGAGAGATTTAAAATGTTTATTTCTGGGCCATGCTTTACTTTTTATATGAAAGCTTCAAAACGATTATCCTAAGTCATACTTTTCTTTTCTTTTTTTATTTTTCTAAATTTTCGTATTGCATTAACCCATATAATAGTACGGCATGGCCGCATGGTAACCTAATTGACATAATTTTTTAGCCAATCAACTACGACTGAAGAAGACAAAAAAAGAAGAAAATTGAGAAGTTCAAAAGACAAGTCCAACTCATAGTTGAATCAAAATTAAGATGTTTCTACGAATTGAATGATAGAAGAAAAGAAAAAAAACAATATAATACAAGCCATGATTATCACAACCTCAAATTTTGTTCGATGGCTCTATGATTTTTCAAGGTTGTATAATAGACCACATAAAAGATTTAGATGTTGACATCTCCGTATCTTGCCAGGACCATTTCTAGAGAGGCATTCTCCGACCCTTCCCTCAACCCCCCCCCCTCCCCCACCACCACCAAATAAAAGTTTGGAAATAGGATACACAAAGAATCGTGAAAATTTTATTTTGAGTTAATGTCTTCACAAGTACTGTAAATGAAATGATTAAGATTGTTTTGAGAAAGGGTCTTTGCATAAATAGCTAGTCGGATTCACTGTTAACTTTTTCTATCTGTATGATTTAATTGATTGTTATTTTACACTTGAAATGTATTCAATTATTTTTAATTTAAACAGTGAGTCTTGAACTCTGTATGCATCTAAATAATACTTCGAAAATCCTAGAGGTAAGTAATAACTGGTAATCTATTATGTTAGTAGTCCCAATTGTAATGTATCATGATCAGAATTTGTTGATTGATCCTGATTTTACATTACGTACAGACATTTAAAATAATTAAACAAATGGGAGATTCTCGATGAAACATTTTAATTTTTGCTTATTCAGACTCATACTCTACCTTGCACCACTTATTTATAATCCAGTAGAATTGGGATCGGAGACTACATAAATAGATAGAGGGTATTTTAAATTCTGATCTTGCTGCCACAATCTTGAGATTTAACTCTTTGTCACTCCTATTAAAATTTAAAAAAAAAAACAGTAGAATAAGTCAGTTTATGTAATCTTAAACCTAGTTGATATTTTATAAGGCATCTTTAGAAATGAGTGCATTTTTTTTATTCATTTGAAAAACTAGAACTAAACGACGGCATCATAAGCACAAATAATTTGCTTTGCTCCTCTGTATTTTATATGCTGGTGTGGCCATGGGTTGGTGGAGATTTGGTAAGAGGGCCTTTTTCTGTTCACCATTTGGCCCCAAATGAATGGAGAATTGAAAAAATAAATAAAACAAAAAGGAACCAGATTTAAAGAAAAAGTGGGGTCTTGTATTGGTCATAACTCCTTGACAGATTGTTCATCTTCAAACTCTTGTCTGTCCTTAATGTGATTATAGTCACAAAAACTACTTAGTTATCTTCAAAAAAAGTTGACTAGAGCACAACTCCTGCCATCTGTTTTAGCCCAACACCTGGTGGTGGCAAAACGGTTAAAAGAAAACAGTTAACCACTCATATTATCCACCAAAAAATAGGTTAATTGTTTTCTTTTGGGAGACTAAAAATTCTCACAAAAGTATCATATGCAAGAAGCCATGGATAATATGGTTACCCATATTATCTGCCGGTTAACCTGTTTTTTATCCGTATTAAAAATGGGTCGAGTTATCTGTTTTTTCATTACCCGTTTTCAACCCGAACCATATCCGACCCCACCCAGCCGTTTGCCACTCCTGGTACCCCAGAAACACCTAACAGCTCCATTATTGAAAGTGTGAAGAATAAACTTCTAAATTCTATTGACCGTTGGCCAATACTTAGCTTACTCGTTTTGTAAAAGACAACACAATAGCCCCTTATGATATTTATTCTAGTACTTAACCATTTTATCCCCATCCTAATTAGAGATGCGTGGCAGCTAGAAAGCAAATCACAGAGGGAGAGTTTATAAAAAAGCAGCAGCAACCAAAAAATAAAGAATCAGATAACCCCTTGTGAAGCAGTTCAACTATCAGAATTTCAACATGTTGAGCAATCCTTTTTGTTTTCAATGTTTAAGCTCAGTTACTAAGTACTTACGTAGCTTTAACTTCAGTCTCAAGTAAGAGTAAACAGACTTCATTTCAGCAAAAATGCTTTTGAAGTGTCTCCTTTCTTTGTTCAGATAAGCTTTATTATAAATGCAAAATTGAACAAAAAGAAAATCGTGTCAGATTAGGAACAAGTTAAGATTGATGACCATAAAATCAGCTTAAGTCCTTTAGCAATCTCAAAAAAGTGAGCAACATTTTCCTCCGGGGTGCCTACTTTGATGCCATGTCCAAGGTTCAAAATATGTTTCCCTTTACCAGCTTTCTTGACAGTATCATTTATTCGATTGGTGATAAATTCCTTTGACCCAAAAAGGACACCAGGATCCACATTACCTTGTATGGCAACATGTCGCCGCCTTCCATCAGCCATATCAACTGTCCAATCCAAGCTTACTACATCTACACCTGTCAATGGTAGTCTCTCGAGCAAGCCACCCGATCCACTTGCGTAAAGAATCAGTGGGAGATCAGGATGGGTTAGTTTCACTGAGTCCACTATCTGTTTTAAATAAGGCAGACTAAACTCTTCAAAATCGACTGGGCTTAGCTCAGTGGCCCATGAATCAAAGATCTGAACTGCTTGAGCTCCACTGTCTGCTTGGTAACGGATATATTTAGCCATAGAGGTCGCAAACTTTTGAAGGAGAGCATGCAGGACCTAAAGTAGCAACAACAATTAACATCAATAAGCTACTGCCAAAATGCTGTCTTTGAATATTAAAACATGATACGATACAAGTAATCAATTTTGGTCCAACCAATAGACGTTCTTTAATTTCGTCTATGTTTCCAGTTGATACTTCCCTATAAGGATAATATGACATTGGATAAATTTGGTTCTTTTACATATATCATCAGTATAGAAGAGGAATGTGCTATTTTCACCTTAAGGGAACTTCCAAATATTCAGCTCACATTATGAAGCATGAAGAACAAGGCTTGTCACTGTTTCAGCAGTCTCTCTCTATTTTTGTTCCTAGTCCAGGGTATGAGGCTAGATTGACGCAGAGTTGTGAACATGCTAAACCAATTTTCAAGAGCAAAATTCAATTTCCCCAAACAGCAAGTTATTTAGAAATATGCATACCGACCCCTCAGATTTGGAAAGGTGGGAAGTGTCTTAGTGGTAAAGATCTAGAGGTATTATTGTCATTAGTTCCTAACAGACAAGAAAAGAAATGAAGCAAATGGCAACAAATGAAAAGAAATGAAGAAAATGGCAGTAATGAAACTTCTTTTCACCTTCTTAAACTTGTTCTGCATGGGTCAATAGGCAAAGTAAAGAGATGTGATCTCAGCCTACACTTAAAACTGCACTTCTCCCTCATGAATCGATCTTAATGCCATTTCTCTCAGTTTCCCTCTATTTTTGTCCCTTGCTTTACATCTTCTATGAACATCAAATCCAGCCCTTTCTTTTTCTGATAACATCAAGTAACGAACCTAAAGTACTTCAATCTGAAAGACTTTTCCTAACACTTCAAGGCTTAGACCTTTTTTTTCCAATTTTTCCTTTGGGTGTCAAGTATTGTCATATCTAGGAATCATAATATATAAATTCTGTAAAATTTAATGCCTTTATATACATAATATCTAGGCTCAAGTCTAGAATAGTAAAGATTTAAGCCACTAACAGTAAGAACATCAAATTACTCATGTGGCCTCCAAATATCTACCACCTCTGTTCCCTTACAACAACTGATCAGCATCCATAAATCAAGGACTAAACAATCCCAAATTAAAGTTGCTCTAGAAGCTAGACAAAAGGGAAATTTAAGTTGGAATCTCTCCCTAAATAATCTGAATGGACGGTGAAGTTCGATAAAGTTCAGGATACAAAACATCAACTACAGAAACAAGCTATAGTTATATAAGTGTATGTGAGTGCAGTCTTCTTCAAAAATCAAGTGCCACGTGTTTCACGATGTAGACATGGTTTAGTGAAAAACTGAAAATTAGTAATAGCAATTGTAAGTTACCTTGGGCTCTGCAAAAGCTAATCTCTTTATCTTTGCGAAGTTCTTAGAGGAACCTCCTTCAACCACATATGACGCCAGGGCAAAAGGTGCCCCAACGAAACCAAGAACTGCTGCTTGATTATTGACCTAGACATGCAAAAACAGTTTCTAATTAAATCAACATAATAGGACAAGACGTGACAGTGACTGTTACAGATAGTCAGATAGCAGACTATAACTAATTTAACTTATTTTAAGGGAAGTCCTAGAGTTGCTTTAGTATATATTTACAAACTTTTGGCTGGTGATATTAGGGCCTAGGGTCTCATAAGAATATGATACAAAAGCAAAGAGATGAGCATAAATGCTCAATCTTAGTCCACTGAACCTATATTATATATATGTAATGCACATGAATTCTCCATACTGTTATGTGAACAGAAAATAATAAGTAAACATTTGTATAGTAATGTATATAGTTCCTTTAGTTCAAAGGTACCCTGCTAAAAAAAGCATCAGTATATTGTCAGAAGGAAAAATAGGATATTCTCCTTGGAGGATAACAAAATAACACCATGTAACAGCAAAACCTGCCTCGGGTATACATGGAAAAGATTATAACGTGAAGGGGCAGCAAAGTCATTCCTGCCAGATGAGCTCGTAAAAGCACAAAAGAATGATGAAGTACCTCTTTCCGCAAAATTGTTAATGCTTCTCCAACATATGGAACTGATTCTTCAGGAATGAATTCTTTAACTTTCTCAACATCAGCGGTTGTTCCCAGGGGATCAAATATGACAGGACCATTCCCCTTTATAATGTCGAAAGGGATATTCATCCCAGAAAGAGAAGTAAGAATGTCTGAAAATAAAATAACCTGCCACAATANAACCAAATTTATAATTATAAAATGCTATTAATCTTAAAATAGGCTAAAATTGCAATTATACGCAATTTAGCTTTTAAAATACCAAATAAATTTGTAAAAAAAAATATACAAAAATTACCTTAACTGTATTTTGGTATAAATATGGGAAATAAAACAAATTATCCACCAAAATGATAATTTTGGAAATAATTATTGGTTTTTATACTGCTAAAATGGGCAATAAATTAATTTTAAAAATCTTTTAGAAATTAGGAAAAATACTAAAACACTTTGCCATGCTTATATATGCATGCATATGTTATTTTGAAAATATATATGAAAAATTAGGTATAAACAATGATACCAGTAAGGAATCTTACCCCATCAGGCCTGAATACTTTCCAGGGTTGTAGAGAAATTTCTACCACAAGATCAACATTCTCTGATCTATCACGGAACGATGGATACTTCTCGCAGAGGAGTTGATAGCTCTAATAAAAATTTAAAATAATGCAGAATAATTAGATGGACCAAAAAAAAGTAAAAAGGAAATCATGGAAGTTAGAATCATGATGGCAACAAAAAACGTATAAGAAGTCCTGCAGACCAAGCCTTAAAACTGTTTTAACTAGTACTCAATAACCTAAGGAAGCAAAACTAGAAGATTGAAAATTGTCAAGCTTTGTGGTCCATAAAAATCCAAGTAGGTCCTTACTAATATTACTCACTTCTCCAAGAACAAGTTAAACAAAACATCAAAAAAATGATCCCCAAAGTCCCATTTTGTTTCTTTTACTCTCTAACAGAAGGGGCAAAGTAGCAAACACGGAGGGTAAAATGAGAATATCGCTTGAGATGGTGTGCTCATGTCATATGTAGACCTCTATATACATCAGCCTTAAGGTGTAACAATATAATGATTGAAGGTGATAAGGAACAAGGTAGATACAAAATCACTTGGCGAGAAGCTACTACAAAAGACTTACGATTTCTTAGGACCAATGTGAACTTAACAAAGAACATAATACAATGAAAGCAAAAGATCCATATAGGTAATATCAACAAGCATATATTAAGGAGTCTTTTCATTCTGGTTAAAAGAACTTGTTTGTTCATTTAGAGCTAAGGGTCAAATGTAGTCATTCTTCTTGTTGTTGTTCGTATAGCGTGAGTGTGAGGCGTAGTAGTAGTTGTTGTTATTCATGTAAAACTAAGTGTAAGGTTCAGAGAACCTCTAGTTTAGAGAACTCCCCTAAGTTGTCTTAAATTACTTAGTAGTCGAATGAAATTGGACCAAATAGAGCAAAAGGGATACTGATGATTCATATAGCTGACCCCAACTAATTTGGAATTGAGGCCTAAATGATTAAATAGAATTGGAAATTCCCAATGGACCTCTCTTTCGAAGATTCAGCCAAGAAAGCTCGAAGATTCAGCCAAGAAAGCTCGAAGATTCAGCCATTCCTATCTCATGCAAGCAGCTGACTACAATGGACCTACACGAATCTGTTGACACTCATGGAATGTAGGTAGAAATCTTTTACATAGGATATTTATTGATTAAAAAGGTAACACAATGGAAATCCCAAAAGGGAAAAAAAATGACAGACGCAAAATTTTGAATATGCACTATGCCTTATAAATCTTTAGGAATAACCAAATTTAGAAGTAGAAGCATGTTGGAATTGAGAAGCAGATAAAATAAAGGTAAAAATATGAACCTATAAACCTACCTTCATATACCTCCCTGCTTGTCTCATAAGCCATACGGGAGGCCTTTCTACATCTTTACCCCGAACAGCATCAAGCAACAAAGGTTCTGTTGCATTTATAGCTTTTGGTTCCGCAATAGTTCCTGGAAGTTAAAATCAATATGAAAATTCAACCAACTTAAGAAGTTGAAGGTACAATTGCATAGAAACTGAGGGAATAAATAACTCTAACTCTAATCGGTCAGGGGATGTATATGGAAATTTCAGATTACTGTCTAGCGGATGCAATTTTACACACTTGAAATGAAATTGAAAAAATACTACTACTAAGATGAATTGGTAGGGTAATTAAAATGAAGAGTAAATTGAGGTCCTTGAGGCTTACTTAATTGACCAAAATCAAGTTTTAAGACAGCAGCCACTGATTGCATAATTGTGAATGTGAAGACATACAAATAGCATAACAAAGGCTGGATACAAGGCTGAATTAATAATTAATCATAATAAGGTACTCGGATTAAACAAAATTGGAAATGTTATAAGGACGATGTAAAGAAGGTTACCTCCAGCAGAGCAACAGATTTTGGGGTTGACATTAAAGATAGAGGGAGAAGTAAAAGCAGATTTAGAGGAAGGAGATATAGAATAAACAGAGGTGTAATTACAAGACATCATTTTTTCAAGCCCGAAATTTCCTTTTGCATATCAAAGCAGTTGGAAAAAGAAGACCAGTTGTAGGAAATCTACGTTGACGAATGGCAAACTCTTTTGTAGGCCCACTTTCCCCTATTTACTTCGCCTTTTCTTTTGCTTTCTTTGCTAACTGCTCAATTCATTCTCTTCATTTTGACCATCTGCTACAAGAATTTTATTACTATTTCTTTTTCTCCATGCAGATTAACATGACAGATTAGGCGTGCTATAACATCTCTTTTAACAAAGATTATATTGCTACTATAGCTGTTTAGAAATACAAAACAGCTTTTTATAAACAACCTTGACACTATAAAAAAGAAAATTTTGGAGACAGCACAGCTTTTAAAAGAACGAATTGCAAAGTTACTCAACAAGTAGGCTTGATTCGTACTCTGCTTACATTGCAAGTACGCAGGACAGTCACATTTACACCTTACCAAGTATATGTGTTGTTAGTGGTGTTACATAACTTAATCATAGTTATATTACTAACTAGAGTCTATACCTACAGCAAATAGATAGTTATAGTAGTTAGAGTTGTATAAATACACTAGTTACTGTACAGTGTCATAACAAGAAATGAAGATTGAGTTTCTTCCTCTTCTTCTCTCTCTTTCACTCTAAGTTGCGACTGTATCACTTTTCTGAGCTTGATCTCATTCCACAAATTTAACATGGTATCAGAGCTAATTACCAAGCGATTCCAGGGATTTCTTTGTGAGATTGAAGAAAATTGAGAGAATCAGCTTCATTTTTTTTTCAATTTGGGAATGGCGAACTATAATCAGAACCCTAATTTTGCTTCGAATGTGTAATTGTAAGTAGATTTCTGCGATTTTCTATGGCGATTGCTGACAATTCCGGTAACAGCACCACCGGAGCAGTGGCACCAGCTGGAACAGTGAATAGCGGGAACTTCATTCTACATCATAACTATCCACACTACTTACATCCATCTGATAGACCAGGCTCGCTGTCAATTGGTTTGTTGTTAACTGGAATGGAGAATTATACATTGTGGAGTCGAGCTATGAAAGTAGCTCTTCTAGGAAAGAATAAACTCTGTTTGGTAGACGGTACTACTTCAAAAGGTGATTTTGGACCAGGATTAGCTCATCAGTGGGACCGATGTAACGCCATTATTACTTCGTGGTTGATGAGAAATGTTAATTCACACCTCTTAACTGGTGTTCTATTCTCAGAAAATGCTCAAACTGTTTGGCGCAACTTAAGGAACGATTTGACAAAGTAAATGTCCCGAGGCTTTATTACTTACACAAGGAGATCTTTACCTCTAAACAGGGGATCCCATCTGTTTCCGTTTACTTTACCAAATTAACTGATCTTTGGGCAGAGTATGATGCTTTATTACCACCACCTCCTGTTAAGGACTATGTTGAGCAACTATAATTTCAGAGACTATTGTAATTCTTAATGGGATTGAATGACAGTTTTGAGTAGGCTAGAAGTCAAATTTTGATGATGCATAGTGTCCCTTCCATTAACCAAGCCTATTCTATGATAGTTCAAGATGAAAGTAGGAGAATAATCTCAGCAAACAATTTTCACATGCCTAGAGGACAGGTTGATCCTACTGCAATGTTCACCACACAGTCAGGGAATAAGTAAAGAAGGAACTTTAGTGTGGAATGTGAGTATTGTCAGCAGAAGGATAACGACCCGACCGGTCATTTTGAGCTCTAGCGCATCGTTCGGCAGTTTGAGGCCATGAATAGCTTCACTTTAGGCATTACGACTTGTACGTGTAGTCGGAACTAAATTCCGGGAAGTTCGGAGTTGATTTGGAAATAAAATTCTGATTTCGGAAGCTTTAAGTTGGAGGAATGACTAAGGTTTGAATTTTGATTAAACGATCTCGAAATCAGGATTTGAAGGTTCCAACAGGTTTGTATGATGACTTTGGACTTGGGCGTATGTCCAAATTGGGTTTTGGATGACCCGGGAGCATTTTGGTGCCTATTGTGTAAAGTTGGCATTTTGAAGAATTTCATGAATTTGGGTCGAAGTGTATTTCAATTCCATCGATGTCCGTTTGGGATTTTCAAGCCTAGGGATAGATTCGTATAGTGATTTTGGTCATAGGAGCGTGTCCGGACGTGGATTTGGATGTTCGTAGGCCATTTCGGAGTCATTTGGCAAAAGTTGGAAATTTGAAGGTTTTCGGGATGTTTGATCGGTAGTGGACTTTTTGATATCGGGGTTGAATCTCGATTTCGGAAGTTGAAATAGGTCTGTAATGTCAAAGGTGACTTGTGTGCAAAATTTGAGGTCAATCTGATGTGATTTGACATATTTCGGCATCGAATGTAGAAGTTGAAGTTCTAAAGTTCATTAAGCTCGAATTGGAGTGCGATTCATGATTTCGATGTTGTTTGATGTTATTTGAGGCCTCGACCAGGTCCGTATTATGTTATAGAACTTGTTGGTATCCCAGGGGCCTCGGGTGTGTTTCGGGTCATTTTTCCCATGTTTGCTGCTGTTGATGCTAGTTCTGGTGGCCTTAATCGCGAACGCGTGGAGGCGACCGCGTTCGCGAAGAAAGATTTGTGGGGCAGGAGGAGTTTACTCATCGCGAACGTGACACAAGGGTCACGAACGCGGAGGGGGTTCCTGAGGTACCTACGCGAAGGGCCAGTCACGAACGCGTAGAAGGAAATGGGGAGCTGGGCCTGAGGTCGTTTGTCCTTCGCGAACGTGGAGAGTGGAACGCGAACGCGTCGTGAGGAACGCGAACACGAAGAAGTATTTCTGGACCTGGGCTTGCTGAGCTTCGCGAACGCGAGGGGCTTGCCGCATTCGCGAAGAAGGGTCGCCTGGGCAGTGTATAAGTTGCAAGGAAACGGGTGTCGGCACATTTTATCTCATTTTCTCCATGGGAGCCGACCTAGGAGCGATTTTGGAGCACCATTTTCATCGTCAATCATTAGGTAAGTGATTTCTACTAGTTGTGAGTTAAATACAAGGTTTATATATGGATTTAGACATGAAAATTTGTAGGAATTTGGGATTTTGAAGAAAGAACTAGAAATTGATATTTCTGGATTTTGACCACGAATTTGGGCATAGAATTGAGAATAAATTATATATTTAAGTTCGTGGGGTTATGGGTTATCTTCGAAAATTTTCAGAATCCGGGCACGCGGCCCGAGAGTTGATTTTATCGATTTTTCTAGCGGGGTTGGAAATTGTTTAAATAGATTAATTATGGGTATTAGAACACATTTTGATTTGGTTTTCACATTGGTTGCATAGTTTTGGACCGTCAAGCTTTGGTTTGAGGTATTAGAGTGGCATCGGAGCCGGTTATGGAACTTCAAAGCGAGGTAAGTCTCTTTTCTAACCTTGTAAGAGGGAATTAATTATTAACCCCATAGGTGAATTGATTTAATATGTGCTTTTACTTGTGGGGGCTACGTAAGCACGAGGTGACAAGAGTTCGTATGTAGCTACTAATTATGCTTATGTCCGGGTAGACTAGGACCAAAATCATGTTATACTTCCGATATTTGCACCCTACTTGTTAATTTAATTGCTTAAATCATATTGAAACTTGATAAAGGAAATTTTAAAAGGTTAAACTTCATTTACTTGAGTTTTGGATGGGTCACTTGACCGTTGATGAGAATTGGTATTTCTTTGAATATTAGCTCCTTAATAAATCTTGAATTGGTAGTTTTAATGTATTTTCTCTTTTGTGGAGAGGGCTGAACGCCTCGGTAGCAGATAGATGTATCTATGGTTCGTGCTGTTTGACCCTCGACAGTGCATAATTTAAATATTTTATGCTAGATCGGGTCGTACGACCTCGGTATGACTTGCGCATGATAAATCTTTGGAACTAATAATAATTGATATCGCTTCATTGGCTTGAGATATAAACTGTTAAATGACGAAAATAAATTTGGAAATTTCCTATTAGAAAAAGAATTGTTTACTTACTTCTTGTTATTGAGCTTTCGGCTGTTTTTATACAATCCATGCTTATTATAATATCGGTATTTTATTGTTAGCCCATAGTAAGTTTCGGAGTCGACCCCTCGTCACTACTTCTTCTAGGTTAGACGTGTATGTTTACGTACTCATACTACAGTTGCTGCACATTTTGTGCAGGTACATATATGTCTAGTAGTCTTGTGAGCGCAGAGACGCGGCTATTGTAGGGACTTAGGTGAGCTGCATCCCATGTTGCGAATTCGCAGCACAGAGAGTCTCCATCAGAGTTATTTACACTCTCCTATCTAATTTTATTCTAGACAGATGTTGTATTTTACTATATTTCCTAGTTGATGTTCATGCACTTGTGACACCGAGTTTTGGGGGTGATTATGGGTTGTCCAGTATTGTATTCATGAAAATATTATCATTTACTCAGTAAATTTGATCTCTTACTATTTAATTGAAGGAAAATATGAGTTCAAAAATACTAAAATGGGCAATTAAGTTAATCATTTATTGTTGTCTTGCCTGACAGCGGTGTTAGGCATCATCACGATCTTTGATGGATTTGGGGTCCATGGTATCAGAGCACTAGGTTCACTTAGGTCTCACGAGTAATGATCAATTCTAGTATTGTCTTGTGGATCGGTACGGAGACGTATGTACTTATCTTCGAGAGGCTACAGGGCTTTTAGGAGCACTTCCCTTTTTGATTCTCATCGTGTGATTTGATTCCTTCGAGGCTTATGCCTTTATTTCTTTCCTGTTCAATCTTATGCGACGTGAAGTGCTTGTTATCATTTGGGGATTGAGGAATTGTAATGGTACTACAGATGTGGTGCATGATGTTTCTCCCTGCGTAATTTATTGGGCTATTGTCGTTGCCTTGCAGATGGATGTTTAGTCGTTTCAGCTTAGCATCAGTATTGCCTATGGTTTTGAAGTTGGGCACTGATTTTTATGATGATTCGTGCATTGCTATCGAGCACTGTTGGTGTAATGGTAGGATGCTTATTTATGGA